TTATAAATGAAGACTTTCATTTATTCATTTTTATTTGAAAGGCAAAGCTACAGAGAAAGAAGGATAGCTAGAGAGAAATCTTCCAACCACTGGCTCACTCCCAAATGGCCACAAAGCTGCAGTTGAGCCAATCCAAAGCCAGGAGCTCCCTCCAGGGTCTCCCATGAGGAAGCAAGGGTCCTAGGACTTGGACCATCCTTCACTTCTTTCCTAGGCCATAAGCAGAGATCTGGAATGTAAGTGAAACACTCGGAACACAAACTGGCACCCATATGGGATGCCAGCACTGCTGAGCCACCCCCCACTGCCCTACCAACTTTTTAAAGATTTATTTTTTAGTTTTTATTGCAAAGTCAGATATACAGAGACAAGAAGAGACACAGAGGAAGATCTTCCATCTGATGATTCACTCCCCACATGACCACAATGGCCAGAGCTGAACTGATTCAAAGCCAGGAGCCAGGAACTTCTACCTCTCCCAAGTAAGTACAGGATCCCAAGGCTTTGAGCAGTAATCAACTGCTTTCCCAGGCCACAAGCAGGGAGCTGGATGGGAAGTGGGGTTGCTGAGATTGAAACTGGCACCCATATTGGGATCCCAGCACATTCAAGTTGAGGATATAACCGCTAAGCTATCATACTGGGCCCAAGACTTTTATATTCTATTAAACTTTTTGGTTTAAGAACAAAGAAATGCCTCTTGTCAATGAGAGCTGTTTCTGAAGTCCCTCCACCAGGAGAAAAAAAAAAAAAAAACGACCTAACCATGATCTGGAATTCTAGATTTGGTAAGACTGACCACATGAGAGATGAATAAAATACACTTATTTACCAGAGCCAAACAGAATAGAGTTCATGATTGAATCCATTTGCTAAGGATTTAAGAAACTGAATGCTTATGTAACTCCTGCATCTTGGACATTTCTGCAAAAAATGCCAAAAACCAGACTCCAATACATCTATAAATAATAAAAACTAGATGATTGGGACATCAGTCAATTTTATGGTGGGATTTACAATATGTGGAAAGAACTAGCTAATTTGTTGGAGGGTTAGGGCATGGACGCAAGAACGCATGCACAGTTAAACCACTGATCCTAACAGGGGAATATGCTTCATTTAGCTCTCTTTTGCTAAGACGAAATGAAAATAAAAAGCAGATGTAAAAACTGACATTACCTAGATGACAGTGACAGCAACACTATGCCATTCTTTCTCCTGATTGTGCTTGCATGTTTTGTTTCACACCAAGGAAATCAGATACGTGAAAGCCAAATGCTGCTTTCAAAACTCTGCCATACAGTTAAGTGGCAGGCCAGGCCACCTATAGGAGAACATTATAATAAGCAAACTCCAAACTCATAAGGAAAGATTTTTTAGCTGTCATTCCTATAATGATGAACAATTCGTTCACCTCTGAGCCACTTTTCTTGAGTCCCTCAAACTGCTCTGCATGCATCATCTTAGACCTCTGTGACCATCAATTTTGTACCTTTTAGTTTTCACTAATGGAAAAGTCAGGATGTCTGCACGCTTCACCTTACTCAGAGAACTGTTTTCTTGACAGTTCCAACACAGAGTGGCAGGTACTTGGACAAACCGGAGGGTCTGGGTCCCCTAGAAAGAACCAGTTGCTACTCAGCTCCGTCTAACAGAGCAACTAAAAAGCAAGAGTTCGGATGCAATGTTGCCATATTTTGCCATATCTGTCAAGAGAAACTAGCTATTTGTATTCTTATATGAATTTGCCTGAACTTTACATAGCACCTTTTTTTTTTTTTATCGGTAGTGAGCTAATAGAAATCTGTGAGCTGAATTTGCTCTGTTGGTCCCCAGTTGCCAACCTCCTGCAATATTGTGGGACTCTGCCTCCTTCTCTAGCTCCTCATCCTCCTCTTTCTCCTCCCATAGGAAAATCAATTTTCTTGATAACCCTTCTGGATGTGCTCTCTCTCTCCTCTGTCCACCCCAGTACATGCTGGCACTTACCAATGTTATCATGCACATGTACTCATAGGAAATAAGTTCCTTAACTCGCATATTACTGTAACAATATTAGTGTCACTGACTGAGTTCTAGTTCAGATATTATGTTAAGGACTACAAATATATTAATCTAGCTACTAATATTAAGAAATCTAAATATGACTTTTATAAATGAAGAAACTGAGGTTTAGGGTGTTTCTAATATCCAAGTCCATAAATCTAACAAGTGGGAGAGCCACAATTTGAAGCAAAGTTATTTAAGCAAAGTGCTAAACCTTTAGGTCCCTTCAATTCTTTATATACAGTGAGAACTCAATTAATATTCATTGGATTAATTATTTTAAAGTGGAAATTGTATTCACCTTAAGCTATTTTTGAGGAGCATGGGGAGAAATTTCTAATCATTTGAAGAACAGTGAAAAGCATAAATAAAGTGGGTAAATACCATAATTATTTATAGTTCAGCAATGGATTGGAGCCATATATCAGCTAAGTACACAGGCAGAGTTTATTCAAGATATTATTTAAAGTATCTTTATCCAAAAAGTGCTATAATCAAAAAAAAACAATATCCACCAAATAATTTGCCATGTTAACATTTTGGACTTAAAAATTCAGCATGCAATTTCTGCTGCTAGTTAGAAACTGGAAAATGACAAATGGAAATTCAGCAGAAGCCCAAAAGATTCTTTTTTTCATGCAAAAAGTATCAATTATTTCAACATCTATGATGTTCCATTTTTATTTCTGCATTCAGAGTGTAAAAATGTATTTCTGTCTTGGCTTTGTAAATGTATATCATTTCATAGAAATAATACATAACCTCAGTATGTAACAACAAAATAATGTACTGTTTTTTTCCTTTCATCATTTTTCAAATATTTTAAATGAACTATAACTGAATTCCAAAAATATGATTGAAATAATGATGACAGAATCTGATAAAATACATGCTTTATTTGAAGTTCTAATGTCCAATTGGCTGAACAAATCTCTAAATCCTCGGTCTCTCAATAGTAACATTTGACAGACATGAAGAAAACATTTTCTATCTTTAAAACCATTATTCAGCCATGAAACCTTAGCTATTGCAAAAATTTAGCAACAATAAAAACTAGCAGTACAAAGCATATCTCTCAACCATTTCGTCACTCAATCTTGACTTTCTTCTTTTGAGAAATCAATAACATAAACAAATGAGTATAACTCATGTCAAAGTCATGGGGAACACTTGGGTGGGGATGAAGATTCCAATTCTGGGCCTGGCATGATAGCATAGTGGCTAAGGTCCTCGCCTTGCATGCCTGAGATCCCATATGGGCACCAGTTCTAATCCCGGTGGCCCCACTTCCTATCCAGCTCCCTGCTTGTGGCTTGGGAAAGTAGTCAAGGATGGGCCAAAGCCTTGGGATCCTGCACCCATGTGGGAGACCCAGAAGAAGCTCCTGGTTCTTGGCTTTGGATTGGCTTAGCACCATCTGTTGCGGCCGCTTGGGGAGTGAATCATTGGACAGATCTTTCTCTCTGTCTCTCTTCCTCTGTATATCTGACTTTGCAATGAAAATAGATAAATCTTTAAAAAAAAAAAAGATTCGAATTCTGTTTTCTTGAATACTGATTCCAATCCAAATATCAGTGGTGGGAACACCACCAACACTTCTGTTATCTCCGGGGGGTCAGAAGCTATGCCTTGCCCTCAGAAACATATCCCAAGGCAACAGAGAAGGCTTCCCAAATGGGATTTGTTTTGCCAGCCAGCAACTCTATCTATGGTATCTTGGCTCTTCTCTTCTCCTTGAAGTGGTTTCAACTGGCCACTGGTCAGATCCCTCATATACACTTGAGAGCTTGTAGCAAGGATCACTTTATTTCAGCATTACTACCCACTTTATTTCAGCATTATTACCCACAGGCTACTGATATTAAAATCTTTTGAAGGATCAAGAAAACTACAACCATCTACAACTACACAGAAAATGATTTAGTGAAAATTACAAAGCTGGTAAAGGGTTAGTAGAATAACAAAAGACCAGACATTTTTCTTTTCAGACCAACAGTCATCCTGAACTAGATTACAGGAAGGTAAAGAATTGCATTTTACTACTCTCTAAAGTCCTCTTCACCTCAACCAGCGTTGCAAAATAATATTTGAAGGTGGAGTCAGTACTGTGCTGCATCGAGTTAAGCCACCACCTGCAATGCTGGCATCAAGCATCAAGTGCTAATTTTAACCCTGGTTTTTCTACCCTCCAATCCAGCTTCCCACTAATGCACCTGGAAAGACTGCAGAAGATGGTCCCTGCTGCCCATGGGAGACCACAATGGAGTTCTGGGCTCCTGGCTTCAGCCTGGCCCACTCTGTCTGTTGCAGCCTTTCAGGGAAAGAACTAGCAGATACAACTCAGTCAGTCAGTCTCTCTCTCCCCCCACCCCCCGTCCCTCCCTCCTTCTCCCTCTCCCGCTATGCCTTTCAAATAGACAAATAAACATTAAAAGCATCTACTTTCTTTATTTAGAAATAAGACTTGACAAGAAGGAACACATTCATTTTAAACTCTTCACAGGAGAGATGTGATTGACAGGGTGAGCATCCCCACCTGATGTTAAATTCAAGGTGCTAGATGAATAAGGCAGAGTACGGAATCAGTGGGGCCAGGGTACCAAAAAGAAATAAGACACTCAATGGACTATGTGTGCTATGTCAATTTTCTTCTCTTTAGTCATAACCAAGAACTAGCTTAAATCACAGAGATTCAACATTATCAATGCTTCCTCAATGACTCTCCTCCTTAAGAATTGCCAAATAAAACAAAAACAGGTTACAAAGAGGAAGGAATCAGACAAAAATACACATTATTGTGGAGATTATCACTACTACAGTTGCAGTTACGGCAACAGCAATTTGGAAGAAACATCTTCATTTATGTAAAATTACATAAAATTTGTGTAAAATTATACAAACAAGTTTTAACCAGTTCAAACTTACACCACCAATGTGTTCTTGGGTAAACATACCTGTTCATTCTGACAGTCGGGTTTTGGGAACAAACTGGGCACGGCCAATGAGGCTACAGAAAGTTCTTGGAGTTTTGTGTTGATTTCAGCAAGTTGTGCATACTGGGTGGGAGCCAGTGTGTATCCTTCTCCGGGAAACAACCAGCCACTCTGCTCACCCTAAGAGGATAGGATTACCAGGTCATTCTCACAGTGTGTTTTTTTTTTTCCAAAACAGACCTTAAGTCCATTGTCCATCAACCCTGTATATAAAGTATCTTATATTTTGTGCGTTTTTCCCTCTAAGGAATAAATCTCTTAAACTCACAGCTTCAATTCCAAAATTTTCTCATTTCCCAACTTTAAAAAATTAGTTTGTGATATCTTAAATACAAACAAATTAGTTTTGCTTTATAATAGAAACTATCATTTTCTTTTGTCCCCACATATTTTTGTTAGAGAACAGATTTCATGCATTTCAGAGGTACAATTCTAGCATAACTGTACTTTCCTCCATCCCTCTCTCCCTCAATCTCCTCCCTTTCTACACTCCTTTAATTTCTACAAAAAGGAAATTTCAACCTACACTATAGCAACAAGCTTAATGCGCCATTTACTATAATACTTAACAAGTAAAAGGTAGAAAGGGGACAGTTTCAGAAGAGTATAAGCAAGGACTAAAAACAACAATAAATAACAAGATGACTTACTACACATTTTTCTATTCTATATTAACTGTTACACATCAGAAAAAAATAAAAGAAAGGAGAGACAAAAAAGAAACTGGCTTATTTCAGCAAGTACAATGGTTTCCAGTTGCACTCATTTTGTTGCGAAAGATAAGAGTTCATTCTTTTATAGTTGAGGAGTTTTTCATAGTGTACATTACAATTCCTATATCCAGGCATCAGTTAGTGAACATCTAGGTTTATTTCACTGCTTAGCTACCGTGAATTGATATAAAATAAACATGTAGGTACAATTAACTAAGCTGACTTTTTTATTTGAGTAAATTCCCAGGAGTGGAATGGCTGGGTCATACGGTAAATCTATTTTCAGACTTCTTTTTAAAAATTTATTTTTATTGCAAAGGCAGACAGATTAACAGAGAGAAGGGGAATCTACATACTCTCATCCATAACAATTGTATGAGTTTACTTTTCCATCAATATTCCCAGTATATTGGGGAACCTTCCCTCCACATATTCGCCAGTATTTATTAATGTTGCTGATTCTTAGATGATAGTCACTCTAACTGGGATTAAGTAAAATCTATTTTGATTTTCATTTGCATTTCTCTGATGGTTAGTGATTCTGAGCATTTTTTCATGTGTCTATAAGTCACTTGTATCTCGTTCTTTGCAAAATACCTGTTCATGTCCTTTGCCTATTTCTTAATGGACTGTTTCAATTTTTGAGTTTCTTTTCGAATTTTATTTTTGTTTGAAAAGGAAAATTACAAAAGAGAGGTCTTTCATCTGTTGATTCACTCTCCAAATGGCTAACAGCCAGACTAGTTCAAAACCAGTAACCAGGAGTTTCGTTCAAATATCCTACTTGGGTACAAGGTCCCAAGCACTTGGACCTTCCTTTGTTGCTTTCCCAGACCAGGAGCTGAGAGCTGCAGCAGAAGTGGAGCATCCAAGACCTGACCCAGTAGTGAAATGGGATGCTAGCACCACAGGTAGATGCTTAACCTGATATGCCATGGCACCAGGTCTCTAGTTTTTCAGTCTTGCCTTCCTAAGTCAGTAACAGAAAATGTTCTTCATTGGCTTTCTTTATAGTTAGGGTTCAAGCACAGCCCACCTACCAGATCCACACATTCCATATTACTGGTTTCGAAATCTGAGATCTAATGCAGAACAATTCAGGCAATGATTAATGGTGACTGTGAGATCCAGCATCAGCAGCAGTGTGCGTCAACTGAGGGCATGTCTCTGGTGGTACCAGGAATAGCCCCTAATCAACCTGTACCTGAGCTGTTCCTGAACTATCAATGCTGGTCACCTTGATTTTTCACCTGCTTAACAAACCTGATTCTGGAGACTTCCTACTGAATGTATGATCTATCTAAATCTCCCAACACACTCATTGCTACGATTACAGCTCAGAACACAGACACTGCTGAGTCAATGACTAATATTAGTGGTTAACAAATTTTAAACTCTTACCTGAATCAAATTATTTTTAATAGCATTGGTGCTTAAAAGAACATGTTAGATTAAATCCAACAGCAAACTAAATGCTTCATGTACTATGCAACTACTGAAATAAGTTATATGTAAGTAGTAGATGGTATTTTTTTGTCTAGCACTTTCTACATATATTTGTTATGAGTGAGAAACTTCCAGCTTTTAATTCTTGCCTTCCTAAGACATAAACCAAAATGTTCTTCGCTTAGTCTTCTTTATAGCTAGTGTTGAACAAAGGCCCAGAAAACAGCCTCATCTCTTCAGTTCTGACACGCATGAATAATAGCGATCTGATGCACAATTTCAATTAGTTTCAAGTATGGATTTCCAACACAGAGGAAAATATTTTTTAAACTCTAAGCAAACATCTAAGAATCAAGAGGATATAACATCCTTAAAATCAAACTTGTCATGATAAAGGACTGGAGATTAAACAAAATTAACATTTCAGTCATCCTTTTTAAGCTGTGCAGGCATTCGACAAAGATGAAGGAAAAGGAATATCTGAGAACATGGAGCTCTGAAAGAGTACGGAGAAACTGGAGAATGCCAAAGAAGTCTGGTGTGGTTTGAGATTACAAGTCAACGAGCTCCTTCCTTCATGTCTTCCTGAATTCTTCTTGCTACATTTTGTGTCTTCTCCCTAGGAAATGCTGTGCCAACATGTGTCATCATCGAGCTGCCATTACAGAATTTGTGCATGTTGTGTTCATCTCCCTTATCAGATGGAGCACTTGCTGAAAGGACTCTCAGCAAATAGTTCCAAAAACAATAACTGAAAGAAATTTTTTTTAAAAGGGGGGTGACAAAACTAATAAGCAGAAGGAAAATGGTGAACCCAACTTAGAAAACTGCAAAATGAGCTCATATGAGAACAATGACACAAAAAGTGAATCTTATGAGAAAAATGTCCTATGATCTGGAAAACAGATCCAGGAGCTCCTCCATGAAGAGGGTGACCTTGTTCCTTGTCCACCTCTGCTACAAAAACAAAAGCAATTTAGAATATAGAAGCAAAATAGAAAACAAAGTGCTACATGACAGCTTAACACGGAGTTGCAGGTAGAAGTCTTGGGACACACCACTCCTCAGAAGGTGAGGCAAAACCTCAGAGAAGTGACTCTTGGGTCTATATACCCTTTCTGCCTAGAAAACATACCTACAGGTATAGCAGCATTTTTGCACACCTAGACAAAAAAAAAGACACAAAAAGAATATGGAGGAAAAACATAGGAAAACACTAGCCACTTACTCCTGGATTTCTTCTTACTAAACAAAAATTAACTCGTTATTTGTTTAAGCCACAGTTACTAAACTTCTCTGGTACTTGCAACCAATGACATGCCCAAATAATATCCCATTCTACAGATACCCCAAAGGGAGAGCAAAGATATGATGAAGGAAAAAAATAGAATTTCCTGAAGAAGCAGTCCCTAACACAGAAAAACATATGTTGTCTTTTCAACTTCAGTGATTACTTTCTAAAGTTCCATATATTAACAAGGCTGAATCTTTGATATGTTTTTATTACCCTTTTCTCCTAGTTTCTTTCCTTTGGTACATAGTGAAATCAGAAATGAATTACATTTTAGTTCCAGAATACTGTAGCTTTTTTACCTTTAAAATAGTTTCTTCCACTTTAGGAATTTCAGTGCAAATTTTTAGTCATATCATTTTTATGTGAAAAATTTTGGAACATTGTATATTCTAAAATTTCCTTTTTCTTGTTTCAAATAACTTTGATGGAAACTAAATTCTAGATGATTTTAGATGCGGAATTCTTTCCTTTTGAAAGCATGCAGGATTTTCTGTAGTTGGGAGGGTAAGCATATTTATCAGATTATATTTATGTGTGACATTAAAAATGTTGCTCCTTGACGCCTGGTAGGCCTTCTCAGTCTGAAGCTTACTGCTTCTTCAGGAAATTGAAGAAATTCAGCTGCACAATATTTGTGAAAGCTCAAAATTATCATAACAAGGCTTTAAAACAAAGGGACAAGACATAAATACTAACAAAAATAATATGCAAAAGGCAATATTCATAAGAAAAATGTAAAGCTTCTTCTAGAATACATAGACAGGTATCTATACGTGGGGTACTCACAGACACAGTAGGTAGCAGCTTGTCCAACCTGACAATCGATATTAAAATCAAGTCCCTTTTAGTCTTACTATCAAAAACTTTTGTTAATCAAACAAGAAAATTACCATAGATAAGTCAACCTAAATTATATCAGAATAATGTGTCAGCCCATGAAGGTGTTACCCAAAGTAACACCTTCATCCATTCCCAATCAGCCAGCACAAGACCCTCCCATCACAGCAAATATGATTCCAGAGGTTGTAGTCTATGACAATATGCAGACTTGCTTGTGGTGTGTGGGAAAGGGTAGGAAATATTCTGTTTGTTTCCATATGACTTCTTTAAATGGAACTCACTGTTAACAATTTTAAAAATGTACTATTTCTCATAAAAACCTGAGTTTCCAGATTCTCTTGAGAAACTAGACAATTCAAGCAGTTGATGTTGAATACTGGCTGCCACTGAATAGGAATTTCCTTCCATGGCACTTGGCTACTTACTCTCGGGTGCTAAAGTAGAAACTGTCTTCCAAATCTGTGTCTTAAACTGGGCTTCCTGGATGCAGAAGCTGAGACAAGGATTCCTGCTCAAGAGACTGATGGGGGTCGTGCCATTAGCAGCACGAGCATGAGGAGGTGAGCACAGAGCCAGGTCAGGATGTGCTCTGGGCTGATGGCCAGCTTCAAAATGGTTCCTGGGGAAACTCCACAGCACAAATCACACCAAACGGGAATCCTGTTTGGGGAAACTAGGAGAGAGGAAGCTGCATGCCCTTAGCATGGGGTTGGGAATGGACTCAAACAGGCATCAGACAAAGGGCATCTGGGCAGGATGCCAACTTCATTCACTTCATCAAGTCTCCACTCAATAGAGGAGAATTAAATCAGGCATTGTGACTAAATGCTTCAAGGATGATGGGAGAGTCTACTTCTTTGTGAAAGTACAGAATCCTCCTACACTTTTAAAAGGCAAATGCATGCAAATACTGGGCTACTGCTCTCCTTATATGAACTGTACTCCTTATGTGATATCTTTTTCCCCCAGATTACATGCTGCCCTACTTTCAGCTCAGTCTTTGTCTCCCCCTCACTCCCACCAGACTCTCCAGGGAATGAGAAACTCCAGGATAGGAGCTTCTCTAACTGGATAGGAGCCAGATGGTGCTCTCTGGGGTCACTTAAGACTACACAGAAACACCTAGAAGTCAATTTAGGAGTAAGAACAGATGTCCAAAAGGACACAGATAAACATTCAAGTGTCATCAGTATTAAGCCATCACAGGCAGAGGTATGATATTCAGGGTGTTGTCACTCTTTTTTATTTTTACTTTAGCTGTGTTCAACACTTTGTGATATTTGTTTCATTTATTAACATTACACACACATATATATTTATAAACATAATTATTTTCTTGAAAGCAGTGGTAGATATCATAATAACTCTTAAAAGCACAAAATAATCCTTTCAGAGTAGGTAATAAATTGACAGACAATATATTAAAAACTTATAAAATAAATGTGTAAAACAGGATTGTTTTTAAAGCTAGAAACCATTATCTCATAATCTGAATAATTCTTGTAAATTTGTAGTAATGGGTCAATAACATAATAAAAGAATCAAAGCTATGAAATTCAGAAGCCATCACCCATTAAATCTATATACCTCACAACAGGGCAGCACTGATTCTTGGTCATCTAAATCCCTCAGAAGTTCAACCAGTCTTTTCTTCTCTTTGTCAGTCATAACCACTAGGTCTCTTGAGTTCTTGGCCAACTACAGAATTTATTAAGGAAAATATTGAACAGTTAGAGCAATTTAGAGTTCAAAAAATAAAAATGAAACTTATGGCTATTACAATATAGATACACAAAGGTAAAATTTGGGAGATTTGGCATTTTACAATTGCTAGGTAATTTTGTTCTGTGGCAACTTATTTGTATAGGGTCATTTTACAAATAAAAAATTCCCACCAAGTAGGTCCTCTCTTGTTAACCATTTCAATAAACATTTCATTTCTTAAAATAAACTGAGCAGTGTTCAAAAAAATATAAAGGCATCTCAAGAAGTTTGCAAAAAAATAGAATTAGAAAATAAATTTATTCTGCTGCAAAAAATTGTGAAATCCATGTATATTTTTTCCATGGTACACACTTTATACAAACTTACAAGATCCCTCATATGCACAGATTTCAAAAAACTATAATAAAATAAACTTATTTTAACTCCATTTTCATAAGCTTTCTGAAGTACTAAAGATACCTAGGAAAATGGAAATACGAAAAATATGAGTGTATACATTTCACAGGCAAAAACATACTTGCTAAGACATCTGTAAGAAATCTTGCCACTTCTCTGGCATATCTCCAGTAAACGAAATTGCTTTTTTTTTAAGTTTTTATTTCTTTCTTTCTTTTTTACTTACTTACTTTAAAGGCATAGTAGCAGAGAAAGACAGGTACAGAGAGCTTCCACCTACAGTTCACTTCCAAAATACCCACAACAGAGGGGAATGGGCCAGGCAGATTAAAGCCAGGAGCCGGGAACTGCATCTGGGTCCATGTGGGTGTCAGAAACCCTTGTACGTAGACCATCATTTGCCCAGTTACAGGCACGTTAGCAGGAAGCCAGATCAGAAGTGGAAGCGGGACTCCATCCCAGAAAGCCAGTATGAGATGTGGGTATCTCAAGTGGCAGCTTACATGCACCAGAACAACCAATCCTGAAACTGCTGTTAAATATCATGCAAATAATTTAAATAAAGATTCTGTTATTAAATAAAGCTTCTATTATTAAAAGGGAAATCTAAGGTGAGGCTGTTGTCTGTATGAATAAGAACTTGGGATACTGGGTAAATCACTTCACTTGGAAACTAAACAACAAATGACTATGCTGTGGCCAGTACAAAAAATAGGCAGATCAAATAGAAAGTTTCCTGAAGAAAATCATAAGATGGAACACAGAAAAATCAAGAGTTCCAGGGGCCAATCCTAGCAGTGGCGAGCTGACACATGAATCCACTATGCCTGGAAGTGATAGTCAATTGTGTTAAACAGCATCAGATCTGAAGCATGAGGAACTGCCTCACTCTGTCCTCTTGTTAGCCTTTCACACCCGCCAATGCAGTTTCTTGCAACAAGCTGCTCAGGTCACTTGCCATGAGCCTTCTGCCCAGCCCATGTCTATTCTGGTTGTAGAGTAATTAGCATGTGATCTAATTTGGGAGCCCCTGTGTTCCTGGTTAGTCTAAGTTTGCCTCAAAGACAAACCAAGTCAACTTGAGGGACCTGCAAGATCAAGGAAGAGCTTCTGAGGCCAGGGGCCAATCAAGGCCAGTGAGTGACCAGCTCCAGGAGGTTCACCAGGTTACAGCCAAACAGCTGATTCTCAGCCTCCACCTGCTGCTGTTCTGCCAGGAGCATTTTCCATTCAGAGTTCTAGAGGCTTGGGCTATAAAACCAGTCTTGCTACCTTTTTTAAAAATGTTAATATGTGACTTATATTCCATGAAACATTGTCCAAAGCTAGTACCTCAATAAATTACTTTTGGATTGCAAAAACTAAAGGATTTCTGGGTGATGATTCAATGCTAGCTGCCCGTCAGTACCTTTTAAAAGGGATCAGAACAGGATAGAACATATCAGGCTACGACAGAATGGCTCAAGTGGGTGGGTTCCTCCTCCCCACACAGGAGTCCTGGGCTGAGTTCCTGCTCCATCCCCATGTTTGGCAGGCCTTGTGAGCACTCAGAGAAACAGCAGATGGATGAGAGCTCTCGTCACCCCTGTTTACTCTGTGTGTGTCTGCCTCTAAACTAAATGAATAAAAAATAATTTTTTAAAAAATCATTACAGAATAGAAAATAATAAGCATTGGCTTAACAAAACTTTTCCTGTAGTCATTCACATAGATTTGTCATGATCAGAAAATATTTTAAAACACTGAACATACTATTACCATTTTAAAATTAATTTAGTCCTTGTTTCTACCTTGCAATTTTCCACTTACATACCTCAATGTTTCTCTTAATAAAATCCTGGTTGTGTTTACCCTGGAGTTCCATCTTCTCTGTAGTTGAGGAAGGTTTCTTTTCAGCTTTGACCAATGAATCATGTCTTTCCACATCATTGGTAAAATCTAGTATTCAAAAAGTTAACATAAAATTTTTCTCCCAATTAGAATTATATGGTCTACCAGAACTTCACTCTATGTATCTATTAACTTTTTTATGAAATATAGATAAAACATACACAAAAGAATTAATGTCTAAATTCCAGATCCAGGAACTTAATGTATAGAGATGCTTTTCTTAAAAGGCAAGTATGCTGGGCCCAGCGTGGTAGCCTAGTGGCTAAAATCCTCACCCTGTACACACCAGGATATCATATGGGTGCTGGTTCATGTCCTGGCCACCCTGATTCCCACCCAGCTCCCTGCTTGTAGCCTGTGAAGGTAGTCAAGGATGGCCCAAGGCCTTGGGATCCTGCACTCACATGGGAGACCCAGAGGAGTCTCCTAGTTCCTGGCTTCAGATAGGCTCAGCTCTGGCAGTTGTGGCCACTTGGGGAATGAATCAGCAGATGGAAGATCTTCCTCTCTGTCTCTCCTCCTCTCTGTATAACTGATTTTCCAATTAAATAAATAAATAAATAACTCTTTTTAAAAAAAAAAAAGTAAATGTGCTACCATAATTTACAATGAAGTTCTGATAAAACTCCTTGAATTATTCATAATACATTGAGTTATCACATATTAAACTTTCTACTACTGATTCCTTATAAATAACAGGAAATATGTACAGAAAATCATAGTATATATGGAAAGAATAAGTTATTATGTGACAAAGACTAAAGCTTTCAGGTTATTTTTTAAGATTTATTTACATTTATTGGAAAGGCAAATCAGATTTACAGAGAGAAAGAGCTGGTTCACTCCTCAAATGGCTGCAATGGCTGGACCTGAGCCAATCTGAAGCCAGCAGCCAGCTCTCCCACATGGGTGCAAGATCCCGAGGCTTTGGCCCATTCTCTGCTGCTTTCTCAGGCTGACTTGGAATTGGATCAGCCAGGACATGAACCAGCACCCATATGGGATCCCAGAGATTGCAAGAAGAGGATTAGCCATTGAGCTATCACGCCAGCCCCCAATATGTAGGTTTTTAGTCGTTATGGGAAACAAAACTTTCCCTTAAAGACCATTTTAAATTGGTATCACCCTTTCTGAACAATAAACTTTGAACTCCAGCTTGTCTTTTAGAAGAAGTTTAGAAGTAAGTGTCCTGGACCTACCTCCCGTCCTTACACATTCCCACAGTCCATGTCAGATTATCGGTTTGTCTCAACATTTCAGAAGAAGCTCTTAAGTAAAGCTCTTAAATATTCAGATCCTGAGGGCTTCAAGCAAGCAGCAGAGCAAAGACAAAAGCTTTAGATCTCTTTCTGTCTCATGCCTAAAATACTGAGAGCAGATACCAACACCCTGCATTCTTCCTCAGTTATTCCAACCCCATTCAAGCCCAGAGCCTACCCACTCTCATCTATGTAAACTCAGCCTGTGCAGGAGGGGGCTCTCTTCCCTTTCTAGCAGATCTGTCCCTGAATATAACTGTGCCTTTAAGTTCATGTTGTTTCTACCTCATTCTGTCTCCTCTTTCTCTTTCATCTTAAATCCTTACAGAATACAAAACATACTTGTAGAGGCTGGCATTACTGTGTGGTATGTTAAATTGTACCTATAATACCAGAATCCCATATGAGTTGGCCCAGTTCATGCTCCAGCTGCTCCACTTTCAATTCAGCTCCCTGCTAAGGTATCTGGGAAAGCAACAATAGATGGCACAAAGGCAGTGTTCCTGCCCTACATGGGATACCCAGGGGAAACTCCAGGTTCTTGGTTTTGGTGGCCTAGTGATGGGCTCCTGGCAACACTGAAGCAATATGGGAATGAATCAGTGAGTGGAAGATCTAACCTTCTTTTTCCATTCCTCCCTCTCTCTCTCTCTTTATAACTCTACCTTATAAATAAATAACAAACGTATCTTCAAAAAAATACTTGCAGACCATTGTTCCTTTAAATAAACATCTTGTTTTTACTATTTCGCTACAAAAGGCCATGGGGCTGGCACCATGGCTGATTTCTGTCTATGGTGCTGGGATCCCATATGGGAGCCAGTTCAAGTCCTGGCTACTCAATTTCTGATCCAGCTCCCTACTAACGGCCTGGGAAAGCATTATAGGATGGGCGAAAGCCTTGGGACCTTACACCCATGTGGGAGACCTAGAAACACCACCTGGTTCTGATCAGCTCAGTTCTGGCCACTGTAACAATTTAGGGAGTGAAACAGCAGATGAAAGATCTCTCTATACATAAATGTCTTCCTCTCTGTCTGTAACTCTGACTTTCAAGTAAAATAAACCTTTAAAATTTTCTAATTAAAAAAATCAAGGTCATATAAACTTATATAAAAGTTCTTATAAATAAAAATAACCCTCTCTTTACAAATGACAAATGGTGATCATCTACAAAATAAGACAAACCATCACATTAAAGCCCAAGTGGGAAAAATGTATCAGTAACTAACCTAGACATCTATTAGGTACAGTAACCACACTAACAAGGAATAAGGAATCCATTTAATTGGCATGTTTATAGCAAATTATCAAAGATTTAACAGGTTTAAACATTAAGGAATACATTTTTATGAAAACAATTGGATATTTCTGTACATAATCAGCATTCCCTGTGGCTATATTGACAATCTCATGAAGCAGAACATACCTTGATTAACAGTCTGCATGTGTTTTTCATATTCTTCTGGAGGGACTTGAGTATGAAACACTGAGAAAAACACACCTTCATCCTTACAATGAGAAGGATCTATCAATTTAAAAAATTATTTGTTCAATATTCACTAAATAATTAAGGTCTATAAAGTTATTTTAAAGAGAGGTAAGATCTAGTATTCTCTCCAATATATACCACCCACACACACAAATTTTTTTTACATGATGTGAATGTCACTTTTAAATGCAAATGATAATCACTTTATGAACATGAATCACAAACACAACTTAGCTCAGTATGGTTAGAAAGCTTTTCTCTAGAAACTCAATGTGAAGAGTGTGACACAAGAGTGTGATAAAATATCATTCTATCTGCAGAGACAATGTACTCAAATCCTAATGTCTAGAGTACACAGATACACATGCTGAATAGCGACACACCTGATCTTAGCCAAAAGGCCAAGAATCGATGCTGAATAACTATGATTGTGTTTCTCTTCCTTACTTTAGATACTCCTGGGCAGAGATTTCAAATACATGATCAGTCATAACGATCAAAGAATGTGTTTGGAAGAGCAAACTTCAGGAGACCCCTACCTGTTAATTTTCTTTTGCAATTTATTCTCTTCCAATCTCCATTAAAAAAATGGGACACTGTGTTTTCCAAATTCTTTTAAATCTATTTCTTTTTATATTTTTCTATTGGCAATTTAGACATTGCATCTTTTCAAGAAACTGCTAACATAAATATATTTATTTTCTCAAAGTTTGTCTCAATACTTCATATGAGAGAGTCTTCCCGGAAGAAGTTGCTGAATTAGAAAATAATCATTTGGCAAACTTCATAATAATAACTGATGCAGGGAAGAGTCATCAATAAATAATGAAATGATAAACATTTGAGAACTAAGAAGTTAATAGCTTCAAAGTATCTTCCCACAAGGTAATTTATTAATTTCAAGAGAAAAACATAATAACCTTACAGTGAGGAAAAATGGCAGACAACCTCTTAACCAAGAGATCAAAGTTAATACCACAATAATGGGGAAATCAATATCATGTATTTCCTGTAATAGTCTATCAAGAAGGACACGGTCTCACTTCTCTGGGATTCTTGCAAAAATGCATGACCTGAGCCTACCATGGCTAAACAAATCCAAAGTAGAGGACTTACTACAATATAACAGACTTATGGCTTCAAAACACCAGTGTCCTAACAAAAAGAAAGACCAAAAACAACTAAAAGCAATGCACTATCTGCAGTCATCTCTTGCTAAAAAACAATATTAATCTAAAAATCAGCAAGGGGGGAGAATGTAGTAAAATGTTAACATTTGGAAAAGCTGGATAAAGGATATCTGAGAATCCTGTGTACTTTTCTTGCAATTTTAAATCTGAAATTATATCGAAATAAAATGTTAAGAGGAAAAATTTGTTTCCTCATTACAAACATCTATATGACCGAGGGGAAAAAGAAAAAAAACATCTCCCTGCAGAGATCAAGGACCAAGTCCTGGAAGAGAAGGATGACAAGATGTTGTTGTTTCTTGCCATCTCAGAAACTAATTAAACTCACCCTAGATAAAGGAGGAGATGTTACAAGGGCATAACAGAGCATGAACAAATGTACAAACCCACAAATGAGAAGGCATTCCCGGAGGTGAAAAGAGATTCACTACAGGATGATGGAACCCAGAACAGTCTAGGCTGTGCTACACTGAACTCCTGAAGCTTGGGGAACAGACATGGCACACAGCTGCTCACCATCTACCCAAAACAGGTGCAAAGCAACAAGGCCATACATACATACAGGAAGACAGGGTCTGACGTAGTCACACACCTGCCACATGCGACACAGCCAGCCTGTGAAATGGAAGGCACCAGAATTTCTCACATTGCCTCCTGAGGTAATGATGAAAGGATGGGATAGATAGCAATCCTCAAAGCCAGGGAGGATGGCAGGACCCATGTACATGAGTAGCATCTGCTAGAATTTGACAAAAGGCTAAATGTGACTAACCATCATCAGCAGGGGCCCAGCCTGGGTTACAGACACAGATCAAGCAGGACAAGACACCTCTGAGAGAAGAGTAAGGACCAGAAGTGCTTCCTTCCTGGTTGCACCCCAATGACAGCAGGATGCTCCACAATCCTCCTCCTTAGTAGGGATGAAGAAATTTTAATAAGTCAGCATTTACCTGGAAAAACTGAACTTTCTTGGAGAAGGCTAAGTTTTGCATCAAAAATAACTTCCCCTGAATGGTTCCCCCTCTGCAAAGATGGAGGTTCATCAGTCAACCTGAATTCAGATAGGGAAAAACAGCCCTAACACCAGAATATCTAAGTCACACTGTAGAATCTTTAGACCCATTACACAAGCACCTACTGGCAGGATCTGAGAGAAATGGCCTCTGTGCTAACAATAGAAAGGGATAGGAAAGAGCTATCAGTGGCCATGCAAGCATTACCTCTAATAGCAGGACTGACCTGGGTATAGAAGGACAGCAGGCCACCACGTTTTGCCTCTTAAACCAGAGGTTAAGGGAATGCAGCAACCAGAACACCAAGGCCACTTCTTAAGCACCCGTGGTGTCCCTTGTGGCAGCCCACATGCTGTTACCCAACTCCTGTCATTTTCCTTCCTCCCAGGCTGTAACTCCTAGAAAACACCCAGACAGCATGGATGCAGAGAAGAGTAATGCAGACAAATCCTCCTTGTGAGGACACAGATTTGATATGACGAGCTCTGGAGGTCAGGGTTGTACTTGTCTCCAGAACTATATAAGCCAAGGGGCTTCAAAACCCCACCCAGTATAGTCGAGCCAAAGGGGTGAATACCAATTGAAGTTAGAAGAGCAGTGAGGAACAACCTCTTGGGGGTGTGACCATCAAGACCCCACAAGCACTGAGGGGATGAGGCAACAGCATGGTCCTCAGCAAGAATGACCAAAGAGTATGTCTGTTTATTGCAAAGCAAGAACAATCTTTTGTAGCCCAAGAAAAAGGGAAAGGCAGAAGGGCATCTCGCAGCAATCCTCCCACCAAACAATGGCACTGTAATTGGCTAGAAAGCAGCTCTCTCTCTGGAGCCTCCAGTCTTGCTGCAGTCACAGACACTGCATATGGTTGGCATGTAATGTGGAACTTCACCAACTTCTCAGAGCTTATTATGAAGAAAGCCCCAGTACAGCTTCCAAGGACAGACAAAGAAGACTAGGCCACAGCACCTCGCTCTTGCCTGACTGGCCAATGATCAGCTCTGGTTGAGGTCCCTGTGTGCCAAGACCATTGCCAGGGGCTCCCCCAGGGAGACACTGTGCCATGTCCTTATGACCTCCTACATGGGCCAAGTAGGCAGAGATCCAGGGATGATCTCCCTCAGCAATCTGCCAGCACGCAGATGGACAGTGACAGACTGGAGGCAGATGCACCCTACACTCTTGGCAAACACCAGCTGTGGATGGATTTCACCTCACTGGAGGACAAAGAAACAGAAGGGGAAACAGAAAATGGAAACGTAACAACCTCCTGGCAATCAGCAGGAAAGCAGACATTTTGAGTTTATCATAAAATCACTGAATACTCTTTGACATGCTTAGTACACAGACCACATGATATTTGCTATGCTAGAGAAAAATGTCGCAAGATAGCTGATATAAAACCAAGAGGTAAGATTTAAAATTAAGGACAAATGAGGAGGAAGGAGGATGATAATGGAAAGAATTGCAAGGAAACCACTATGAAAATATGCCTTTTAACAGGCTAGTTTAAAAATAGATGCTCACAGTCCTAGAGTGATAGCTCAGTGGATAAATCCTCACCTTGCAGGTACCAGGATATCATATGGACTCCAGTTCTTATCCCAGCTTCTTCATTTCCTATCCAGCTCCCTGCTTGTGGCCTGGGAAAGCAGTAGACATGGCCGAAAGCCTTGGAACCTGCACCCACATAGGAGACCCAGTAGAAACTCTGATTCCTGGCTTCAGATTGGCTCAGCTTCAGCCATCGTGGCCATTTGAGGAGGGAACCAACAGACAGAAGATTTCTACCTCTTCTTCTCTGTAAATCTGCCTTTCCAATAAAAATAAATGAAATCTTTTTTTTAAAAAAAGGATACTGCCTTAACTAACAGGTATGTTCCCAGGCCTTAACTGGTTTCCTGCTTGGCTGACTTGCCTTTCATCCTCTTTCCCTGTTCCCCTTTCATCTCCCTCCCTTTCTTCCTTCCCTCCTCTTTTCTTCCCTTTCCATTCCTTCCTTTCATTTGTGTAATGCTCCTTTGTTTCTTTTTTTCTATCTTTTTCCCATATAGATCATGATCAATTATAGCCTTCCATGAACAATATGTTTTTCTAGTCTCAGTAAGTCAAGAATAAATGTGATGTGTGTCCCTCTACCATGTGAAAGTTGAAATTACACTGCCTACACTCAGATTTTTTTTCCTCCTAAAAATGTTTGTTAATGCAATATGGAGTTTTAGATCTAGATCATCTTTCTCACCTCTTTTTACTGAGCAATTTCTGACATCCTGATTTTTGGGTAAATAACAATTATTTTTACTAATCTGTTCAGAAATGACAAATTTTAAATGATTTAACAGTGGCATTACTAATAATTCCTTTATATAGCAGTTTACTAACACTGTATCTAAATTTTGATTCACTTACCAGTTGGCTTAGTATGTTTTCAAGCAAAATTTTTTCCAAAATCAGTATTAGTGGTGAACTATCTAGTCTCTGCCATAATAGAATGTCATTGTTACCTTTATGCACTATTAACAAGAATAATAAAAGATAACAAGAGGGTTGCATGTGGCATAGCAAGCTAATTCTCTGCCTATGGCACTGTCATCCAATATGGGTGTCAGTTCGTATCGTGCCAACTACTTTTTTTTTTAAAGATTTATTTTTATTATTTTTTTATTGGAAAGGCGGATATACAGAGAGGAGAGACAGAGAGGAAGATCTTCTGTCCAATGATTCACCCCCCAAGTGAGCGCAACGGGCCGATGCTATGCCGATCCGAAGCCAGGAGACTCTTCTGGGTCTCCCACGCAGGTGCAGGGTCCCAAAGCTTTGGGCCGTCCTCGACTGC